TAGCGGTAGCAGTAGCAGTAGTAATAGTAGTAGGTAGAAGTAGAAGCAGATGCAGAGGTTGAAGTAGAAGTAGACGTCAACGTCGTCGTCGTCGTCGTATTTTTTGGTCATTTGTTTGGCTCTCTGTAATTAAGGGCTGACGGGTGTCTTAATTCAGAGATGTTCCTTCAGTTGCAGAGGGATCTTGTGCATATTTTGGGGTCAGTTGATTCAATGACGGGCGTTCGGCTCGTCTGGGAAAGGTGAACGTCGTAAAAGCTGTAGCAGCAGCAGTGTGCGCAGTTTGTGTGTGGGCTTAGGGTTAATTGGGGTTGAGCGAACAGTGCCGGGAGTGATGGTCTTGGCCGAATGTGTATGTTCGGAGCTGTGTCCGCGGTATGCGCCTCGTTTGAGGATACCGACAGCGTAAGGTAGCGAGTATTGGGCCCTAAACCCTAAACCCTAAACCCTAAAAGGATGACTGGTGACTGCCTTTCTCGAGGTTTGCTGAAGGCATTAGGCGCTTTCCGGCCCCCGGCCTCATGCCTTCTGCTGGGACTTGTTGATACTGTTGATGATATAAATCCTGCACTACCTTGAGGCCCCTAAACTCTGGGGAAGTATGGTACATTCCTTATTATGGGTAATGCAGGATTTCTATCATCAACCGTAGTATGTTGCCCCCAAGCCCCGAACCAATGCTAACACCAAAAGTAGACTCTTCAGCCCAACAGCTGGAAATCTTGCAGAGCACAGGGGCACAAAATGCCCAAGTCGGACCTTATAAGATTTAAACCCTAAACCCTAAACCCCTCAATGCCTAAACCCCAAACTCTAAGCCCCCCCAAGATTTCAGCCGTAAAGCCCCAAGCCTTAAGACCTGCCTGCAGCCCAGGTGATCCTGGGCGGCCAGGTTCTCCTGGCCACCAGCACCCTGTGGCTTGATCTTTAAAAAAAAAGGGTTTAGGGTTTAGGGTTAGGGTTCAGGGTTTAGGGTTTAGGGTTTAGGGTTTAGGGTTTAGGTTATTAAAGACATGGCTCCCTTACCGTAGACCTAGACCCAAAAATCCTACAACCCCCAGTCCAAAATCCTAAGCATATGATTTCGAGCCCTCAGCGCTCAGTACCCTAAACCCTAGACCCCTAAACCCCTAAACCCCTAAACCCTAAACCCTAAACCCTAAACTCTAAACCCTGAAACCCCTAAACCCTAAACCCCTAAACCCCTAAACCCTAAACCCCTAAACCCTAAACCCTAAACAGGTGTTGCGGCTGCGCCGAGACCTTTTCCTGGTTTGTCATGGGCCGGATCTTTCAGGCGCTTGCTTAACTCTGAGGCTCCTTCAAGGTTCCTTTAAAGGGTCTATCCTAGGGTTTCGGGTTTAGGGTTTAGGGTTTAGGGTTAGGTAGTATTAGGGCGACCCCTTGAAGGGGACCCTTCTGAACCCTACTTTTGTAGCTCTCTTAAAGGGGACCTTATTGAGAGGGTCTCTATCCCCCCAGGGTCCCCCTAATCCTAACTCCCAGTCTAGTGGGAGTTCTCGAAGGGTCGAGGGTTTTGGGGTTTTGGGTTGAGAGATCCAAAGGTTCCTTTGACGGTTAAGTAGGGGTTTAGGGCCTAGGGCTTGGAGCTCCAGGCTTTGCGTTTTTCAGACTTGTGGTCCACTTGTGGTATTTCCTTGGTTTAAAGGGTCAACCGCAACGGACCAAAGTATCGGAAGCCGCTGGTTACTTTAACCCTGAACCCTAAATCTCACGGATCTTGGACGGCGCCTAATTGCGATGAGTTTCAGAAATTCGGAGCCCTAATCATTTTCAAACCCTACAGAGTAGGTTCTTCCCCATAAGGACCTTGAGCCCTAGACCCTGTTTGAATTCAAGGACTTGCAGTACTAAAGTCCCTAAACCCTAGTTTAGGGTTTAGGGTTTAGGATTTAGGGTTTAGGGTTTGGGGTTCCTGCAAGTGTTGTGTAGGGGTTTGATATGTGCCAGCATTCACATGCCTGTCCCCTGGCAGCCACATGGTAAAGCTATACACCACCCCCCTCCTCTGTGGAGTTACATCGGGTCTAAAAGGGCATTCATTGGAGTTTAGCTTTTGGGGGTTCAGGGTTTAGAGTGGAGACTTGTTGCCCAACTCGGCTTCTCCGTCAGGGGCGCTGGGATTAGGAACGCGGAGCGCGGACGCAGATAAGGGCTGTGCACGGGGATGGTGTCCCAGTTATTCACCCTAAACCCCACACCCTAAACCCTAAACCCTAACTAAACCGTAAACACACCCTAAGCCCTAAACCCTAATTTGCTGTACTGTTTTTTTGACTTGCAGGGTGCATGTCAAGCACACGCGAAATCTGGAGCCTTTTCGGTCAGGACTTTACACCTAAACCCTTGACCCTAAACCCCTAAACTCCTGAACCCTCGACCCTAAACACGGAACTTAGATAAGTTGAAAGGCTTCAGGCTTCAGGAGCTTGGGGATCATGAAATTGATTTCTAATCTCACAGCTATTACAATTATATTATCTGTTTAAACCATTTTCACCACTATCTTTACAGCTATTGCTGGTGTTACTTTTAGTGTTCCAATTCTTGCCTTTATTACCACTACTTCTTAAATCCTACGCCCTGAAGCAGGGCATGGCAGCTGCAGTGACTCCGGTCATCCTCTCAACGATCCCGGATTGCACCGTGTCTGAGGGTTTGGGGTTTAGGGTTCTAGGGTGTAGGGGTTTCGGGCTTTGCTCGGGGTTGAGGGTTTAGGTTTACGGTTTCTTGCGTCTTGAACGGCTTTGATGAGCCTGTGTACAGTAGACCTACAGGGTGTAGAGTTTGGGCTGTTCCTAAGGCTGAGGCCGCTGAGACCCTAAGCCTTAACCCTTGGAGCCTCAAAGCCCAAATTTTAAAATCGTTCAGGCTTTCACGCCTATTCCAGAAAGCCTCATCACAGAGTGTTCCCTAAGCAACGAAAACAGCAAACCCTAAACCCTAAACCCTAAACCCTAAACCCTAAACCGTATTGTAGAGCCTTTTGTTTAAACTATTTAGCGGTTTTGAAACTCTTGGGAAGCTCGTTGGGCCTAGTTGTAGCAAGTCTACCGTACTGAGCGTCCCCTACAGCAACTCCCATAAACCCTATATAAACCCTATATAACCCTATATAACCCCTATATAAACCCTATATAAACCCTATATAACCCTATATAAACCCTATATACCCAGCACCGTAGCCTATCCAATTCACCCAACTTGCTGTGTCATTCCGATTCCTCAGCGACCTCAGAGCACCTTCAAACCTTTAAAGGTTTAGGGTTTAGAGGGTTTAGGGCTTAGGGTTTAGGGTTTAGGGGTTTAGGACATTGTGGAAAGCAGATAAGCCTCACACAACCGTTTTTTAAAGAAGAAGGCATCTACAGGCTTAAAATGCTTTTAGGCAGCCCTGTAAAACCTTGCAGGGCCCACTAGAACCGTTGAGGTTTTGCTTCTTTTTCAGAAAAAGGGAAGCTCCGAGTTAGGACTAGCACCGTCGGGCATTAAGCCTGCAGCTAAGGTTTTAGGGTTCAGGGTTTAGGGCGACGGGAACTCGGGCATCAAGGATTCGCGATTTGCAGTCATGATGAGAGACCGATTCCCAAGCGGTGGTCGAGGGTGATGTGATCAAAGGCGATGCCAGAGTGATGTAGAGACCCAGTCGTGCGGTCCGTATTCCAGCATCAAGCAGCAGTCGAACGCCGTCTTGGAGAGTTTTCGGGTTTAGGTGTTAGGGTCCAGGTTTTAGATGTAGAATGTAGGCTTTGAAGGCAGGGTTGGGCGTGGAAAGGTTGACGTTTCCGTTTGCTTCTTTGCCATTTAGGGTGGCGCTTTGTCTTTAGGGTTTACGTTTCTTTGAGGGTTTGGGGATTAGGAATAGGTGTGGAGTCCTCACGTTTTGGAGTTTTTTGGGCTTTGGGGTTCAGATGTTCCGG